ACCCCAACTTTGTTTTAAACCCCAAACTTTTTATAATTACACTTTTCCCCATTTTCAACTATAAATACCCCCTCATTCTTTCATTTTTCTTCACCAAATCATCAATCTCTCTCTAATTTTCTTCTAAAATTGGTTAATTTGTTGTTGCAACTTGTGTGAAAAATTGTGAAGTTGGTGAATTGAAGTATTCAAGTCTTCAAGTGTTCAACGATAATTAATTTCAACAAGTTGTTCGTTAATTCAGTAAACTCGTTCCAACTCTTTAGTTTTAATATTATAGTTTTGTTTGTTTTATTTAATTACTTTGTATAATTATAATTAAGATGGACTATTCCTTAAAAAATTAGTAAAAATAAGGAAAAATCCAAGAGTGGTGAATCTAGTGGCCAATCTATTCCTCCTCTAATTCCCCGGCCTCCACCTGCTGCTATTCTTGATAGTGATAATACTTTATTACAATTGACGGAGAGTCAATATGTGCATAATGTTGGAGGTGGTGAAAACTTAGATCATGAATATATGAATTCTCTTTATGGTAATCCAACTATTGATGAAGAAGATGAGCAGGAAATAGATTTAGATGAAACGCAATCGGATGATGATACACCCACTAGTCCTATTATTCAAGTTAACCCAACTAATCCAAATGATGCCCCAGTTGACCCCCCTGTTAATTGTCGTGTTGCTATTACCACTGATATTGGTAGAAGTGGTAGTGACTGTAATTATCTTACTGTTACAAGTTATTGGATTGATAAGGACTGGATAATGCAAAAGCGCATTATTGCTTATAGAATAATTAATTCACCTCACACAGGGCAGTTTATTTCTAGCACGGTTACAGATATTTTTGCATTAGTGATAAAATAATATCAATTTCAATAGATAATACTACTAGTAACATTAATATTGTAGCCTTGCTTACCACTACACTAGATCCTGCATTTAGTAACATTTTTCATGTTAGATGTATTTGTAGATATTAAAATACTTGTAGATTTTTTAAAAAGCTTTCATGTTGCTACAAATGAATTTTCTGGGCAATATTATCCTACTATTTCGAACTGTTAAGTTTATCTTGCAGATCTTGCAAATTTGTTTGCTCATTTTTCAGAGGGTGGGAAAATTTATGAAGTAGCTATTGATTCTATGAGAAAGAAATTTAAATTTTTTTCCCCCTATTCCCCCTATTTATGGTATTGCTGCCTTGTTAAATCCTACTATGAAATTAGGTGGTCCTCAATATTGGTATCGATCTATTTATAATGGTTTAGCACTTGAACCTGAGGAGTTGTCTATACTTTCGGACGCACAAGCCTCAATTAAAATAAATGCTCAAACTATTTATAGTGCTTATAAAATTGCAATAGATAATGCTAGACCAGATATTCCAACTCCTTCTTCTTCTAGTCCTCAATCATCTAAAAGAGCTTCAGGAGTAAGAGCACTTACTGCTTGGACCGAGTTCAGGGGTTCTCAAGGTTGTACCACTAGTGATTGTTCACAACTAAATGAGCTTGAAGTTTATTTGTCACAGGGACTTGAGCAGGAGAATTCCGACGGCTTATTTAATCTTTTGGAATGGTGGAAGGACAAAGAAAAATACTTTCCGATCCTTTCAAGGATGACACGAGACATTTTAACCATTCAAGCTTCAGCGCTGGCATCGGAGAGCGCTTTCAATCAAGCAAGACTACAACTCGGTGATTATAGAGCGTCTATGAGGGAAAGCTTAGAAAAATCAGTACTTTTCAGAGATTGGATCCGTTCGGAACAAAGAAATTTTGGACTTGCTGAATCACAACCAAATGCTAGTTGAACTTGCGGAGGATGCAGCTTCGCCCGAAAGTGGTGATGAACAAGCTTCTTTTCCGCCACCACCAACGAAAATTCCTCCGAACCTTGATGGATTTATAAAATTTGTAAGAGATACCATGTAAAATTAATATGTAACTTGTATTTTGGCACATCTTGATTAGTTTCTTTTTCTTCTCAACGGTGGTATTAGCACCTTGGTTGTGCTCATTCCATTG